TAGAGATTTTGTCAGGCATTATACTTTTTGATCAAAATTAAAGAATCTATAGATGAAATAATTTACAAATAGCATTTCTTTCAGATGACCTAACCAGGATTTATTTAGATCGGTAATATCCTTTTTTTCGTTTATTATTCAAAACTCTTTTGTGGACATTATGTATTTCACCATTTTCAAATCATCTTACAGAAACTTTCAGCATATTTTATGATTGGAACTTTACAGTTTAATTGTAGATTAACAAGTATTTTTTTCACGATAACAGCGCAAGGTAAGAAAACTTAACAAAATGTGAATTTACGTGCGGGTTATTTTATTTGTACATTACCTGCATTTACTGGTATCATATAAATATTTTTGTTTTACTTCGCGTTAATAAGTGCTAATTTAATTTCTGTAATTGTATTGCAACATCCTTATTTGTAAGTTATATAAAGAATCCGTCTTTCATAATTGTTGTTTTCTAAAGTTTTTAACTACCTCGCGGTCATTGGTTATCGTGTGAACAGATTATATCAAACCTGATTGGCTACCGTGGTTTGTTCATTGCGCAGGTCACTTACTTGTATTTGTCTCTTCGTAGAATGAACTACACGTGTTGCTCTGCTGTAAAACATCAAACTTTAATTCAGTCAATATTCCTTCATTGTTTCTTCGGTGAAGAATAGCCATCATTTCTTTTCTTCGCCATTTAGGATTATCGAAATCTTTCATAATTGGGCAAGTTCAAGGGTCTTATCTACAGATGCTTTCGTTACCATAAAATCTAGAAACTAAACGTTTAGTAAATATAAATGCACACAGTGTAGTTCTTTTTACACACATGATACAATAATGAGCTTTTTATTTGTATTAATTTAATTTAAATTTAAGCAGTATATTTAAGCAAAGAAATTTCTATAATTTTGGATCTTTGATAAAATATTGCAAAGTCTAACTGAACCTTTTTGTCATGGCGGGTGAAAAAAGTTTATTAATGAACCATTTTAGAGCTTTCTCTAATGCTTTATACTTTATTCACACACACAAACACACACACACACACACACACACACATATATATATATATATATATATATATATATATATATATATATATATATATATATATATATATAGATATATATATATATATATATATATATATATATATATATATATATATATATATATATATAGATATAGATATATATATATATATATATATATATATATATATATATATATATATATATAGTCGCGTTTAATCAGCAGAACTATAAAGTCATACATAAGTTATAGTCTACCCGTCTTGGGAATATTACCGCGATCACGTGTTTAATGTATATTGCCATGGGGATAGTGTTGAACTCTTACGCAAGGTTACCAGGACCAGCCGTAGACCGGAAACTAGAATCGCCAAAAAGCCATATATCACACGACTAAAAAGGTTTATTTAGCATCAAAAGGAAGCCTGCGGTGTGATCGGGACGTATTGTTATCCATCCCCAAGTTGACCGGCAGCGAGATTAATATTATCAGTTAAGTTTGATTGGATTGGTTCACAGTATGAATTGAGATAGTGTGTGCGATTGCAATTCAAAACCAAATGATACTTTCCGAACTCGTAAGAGAAAAAATAGTATTCACTATAGACACATGCAGATATCAGAGCATGGCTAATTGAATAATTGCGTAATTTGCATAAGTGTAAGATAAAGAAATGCGTCTGATTATTATGATGATATTTAGTATAACGGGATTAGGAATATCTATTGATGTGACGGAATTTATTGTTACACGTATAAGAAATAATTAATACCGTGCTTTGTAATGACGCTTGTTTTTTCATGCAAGAAGGCAAGGATATCTCGACGCGAACGATTGCGTGACTGAAGAAATGTAATAGCCGTTATATGATGACAGGCTGTGCGTAGTGTGAGATGAGAGTGCTAAGGAAAAAGACTGTACCGTTCTCTGTTTTCACAGTAAGCTTTTTAGGGGACACCGAATTTCGGGTTTCATTGAGTCATAAGTCTTCAAGAGCTGGAAAAAAATGAGACTGTGGTCCAAACAGTCGAAGTCGGCAGAAGGGTGTTCGTTGAGAAAGTGGAGGAGGAGCCTAGAGAAACTCGAGGAAAAGAAGTAGGAGGATGAGGAAAAGGAATATGGAGAAAAGTAGAGGAGGAAGAGGAGAAGGATTTGGGAGAAATAGGAGAGAGAAAGGATACACCAGATGAGTAGATATAGAAGGACAGTTGGAAATCAATCTCGCACTCCTAATTCAATGATGTAATTTGCTTATTAAAGGGTCGAGCGGAAGTTGTGTAATTGTACATTTGAGTCACTTGATCATTGAATTGTTATTAAAATTGTATATATACATGCATAAATACTTATATATTAATGCCAGTTAATAATCAATCACTACATGTCTTCACATTCTTAATTTTGGAAGCATGTAATATATATATATATATATATATATATATATATATATATATATATATATATATATATATATATATATATATATATATATATATATATATATATACCATATTCAATTTGTACTTGTTTCATACAGTTTACCTTCCTGTGATACTTGCGCAATTCAATATTTTCAAATGTTTTCAATTGTTTAATTGGTAACCAGTAAGAATGACAAGTACATCATGAAGTCATATTTTGAAGGAATAAGTTAAAGTGTTCCGAAACAAAATTCACGTTACCAATCCGTAACAGTTACATCCCTATTTTGACTAAAATCATGGTTATTTGATTTTTACTACAAGATAGTCTTGATCTTCACTACGGCTATCATTTAGCATAACTGTGTCTCCTTACGTTTAATTGCATGACGTATGTACATAAGAACAGTTTTGTGTGGTTGAATTGCTTGCTGGCTCAATGCTAATGCAACTTCCAATAGGCTTATGCAAACATGAAATCAACGATTTCGTCTGTGTGGTGATTCCTGTATTTTATTTTGATGTGTTGTGTTCAGGTTCTGTTCCAGTTTTCAGTCACATGATGCGGTTTATTTTTTTTTTTGGTTGTCCATCAACTGGTTATCTGCTTGCAAAGGAGGCAAATGTAAACAATAAATTATGCCTGATATACCCGCCATGCCAGTCTGTTTTGCATATATCTTTTGGTTTCTTTTGGTCTATATGACCTTGACTTTGGACCCACTCATCCCCATATAAACAGACATCTTCCTTGTCCCACATACAAAACCCACTACTGATGGCCACAGTAAGCAAAATGAAAGTCGAGACATCGTGAGGATATTTGTTTTTTTATTAGCGTCACATTAACTTTAACCTAATGCTTTGGGCCCATCAATCAATGGCTGGTTTTCTTATTTCAAAAGAAGGGTTTTATACAGTGTTCTTAATGTTTCTAGTATACGAGAGAGGCTATTTGTGAAAATTGTATTTGGCCTATACAAAACGGTATGTTGACCTTAACCGTGGACTTTCTAAGTCCGAAATTGACAGTTTTAGTTATCTTGATATATGGAAGCTATTTTATTAATGTTTAAATGAAAATCGGGACATTATGTGGAACCACATTGGGAAAAGACTTCATGCGAATTGACAGACGGTCATCATACAGAAACGATTTATTTTACGGCGGGAACACAAAACTAGTAAAAATTAGTAGACGACTATAATCAATGCATTGTGTCCAACTGTTCGGCTTTTATCCAGAAGTAATATGTTTGCTAGGCCTTTTCAACGGCTGCCTCAAAGATATATCAAAAAACAATGTTTCTGGAAAGAAAATTTATTCGCGTAGGTGCTGTCAAAGGTCATACGCACTGTATCATCCATCATTCCGCCAGAAGCGTGCTTATGTCCTTGGTTTCACCGTGTAAAATATATTTAAACATACAAGTTTGGATTCATAAAGAATCTATTGGTATTCATCCCTAGCTTATACCACATTGGTGCCAGACAGTATGCAAATCCTCTTTATCCTTCTTTTGTGTTGTGTTGTCTTACATTGTTAGTACAATGGAAATTATTAAATGGTAATCATGTTAGAGAGAATCTAAAATCAGCTACTAACACTGAAGCAGCGTTGAAGTTTACTTGAATTTATTTAAGATGCTTTATACCATTGAATTAATGTAAGGTTTAAAACTTATGTCTCTTTTACAATAACGGCGTGTATGTACTCATTTACTGGAATTTAAATCTGGAAAGGTGGACTTATTTCGTACGTGTGGCTGTACTTTTGCAGTAACAGAAAGTATGGTGGTCATCATTCTGTCAATTGATGATTTTAAAAACATTTTGTAGTGGCATTGGTCGCCTCAGATGCTTCGATTCCTGTATCGGTTGAAAATGATGATTTAAGGTAACGCAGCCCCAGCGCTTTAGTTTGCTCTTCAATGTTTCTGTTCGGATCCTGCAACATTCCACGTTCAAAGCCAGTGGTCTCCAACAAAGCGTTTGATAAAATGTGCAGATTTCACAACTCAACAAATTAAGAGTAATCCATTAACTCCTAAATATTCGACTGTAGTTCATTCGTACATGACGTGCAAGTTTTATCTCTGATGACATCTGAGTTTACAAGACCCGACTGCTTGGTTAACTTAAAGCTTATAAATTGCTGCATCACGTGATTCGATTTCAACCAAGCTCAATGTTTTCCTCAAAGAACGTGGCAAAAATGTACAATTACCTCTTTAAATGTACGTTTCACATTTGTAAATGTTGCAATTGAGTCACGCAAGTTTTATGTGAAAAGCATTTGTCAAATGTGTGTGTGTTTGTGTGTGTGTGTGTGTGATTTGGGTTTTAACGTGGCTTTAGCATTTTTTCTTCATATCGCTACATTGTCTGCAGTGTGACAGTTTAAAGCGATGTCTAGCACTGGGGCATCATGCCGCAGATATGAAGCATGTCCCACCAAGTCACATTATCCTAAAACCAGGCGGACCAGTCCTAACACTAAGCTTTTAATGCTTAGCGCCTAGCGAGGCATTTTGATAAGTCTCGGTATGATTCGGTCGGGGATCGAACCCGCGACCTCCCGCATCAGAGGCGGACGCTCAAACCACTTGGATACTGGTGCTGTCATTTATAAAATATAAATTCATTATATAATTTTTGTATAAAATTTTATTCGTTATGTAACAATCACTATATTCTTTAGGTAACAATCACTATATTCTTTATGTACCAATCACTATATTCTTTATGTAATAATAAATATATTCTTTATGTAATAATACATATATTCTGTATGTAACTATCAACACATACTTTATATAACAATCAATCTAATTTTATCTAACAATTAATATTTTTTTATATAACAATCACTACATTCTTGATGTAATAATTAATGTTAATATATTTTTATGTAACTATCAATACATTCTTTATGTAACAATAAAAAAACTAGTTATGTAGCAATCAATACATTCTTTGCGCAACAATCAGTATTTTGCAAAATTTAAAATTGCATAAAATTGCGATACGGTGTGAAAATGTATCAGAACATATTATCGGAACACGTACTTCGATCATTATCTTACAGAATGACTCTACTAAACTAAATCAATATCAAAAATGAGCAAGCAAGGCTTTCTAAGTTGCCTTCTATGCTTCATGTTTCTTGAAGTCTGTGTATTAAATTTTTAAAAAAAAATTCCGAACATGAAAATGTCATTTAAAATTAATTTGGAAACGTTTTTATATATCAGATAGATTTATTAATTGACATTTCAAAACGAGTACAACAAATTAAGCGTCATTAATGCGAATCCATATTTCATCTCTACACTTGCAATGCTTTGATCCACATTTTAATTATTGGCCGCCACCTTTCGTTTCTTGCGTGCGAAGATGAAAGTGCAGCTCAAAAGGGCGCACCCGCCGATTACTGAACCAAGGCTTATAAGCAAATGATCTGCAAAGAAATAAATATTGGAAATGGTTTAAATATGTTGTTAAGTCAGTAAATTAAACACTAAAATATTAAAATCAATTCTGAGTTAAATAATAATTTTGCTGGATGAGATAAATGTGACGGCTAGATTTATTAATTGACATTTCAAAACGAGTACAACAAATTAAGCGTCATTAAGGCGAATCTATGACTTAATATATCATCTCTACACGTGCAATGCTTTGATCCACATTTTAATTATTGGCCCTGAAGAAATGTTGAAAGGTTGTCGGATGCTATATAATATCTTTCCACTTTAATCCTGGTGTTGAAATTCATCTTGAAAGATAACTATAACCTCAACAGTAATTTTTGTAGTTGCAGTAGTAGCAGTGGTGGTAGTGGTGATTTTTCAGTGGTGATGATAGCTGTGTTAGTCTCAGGAGTTGCAGTATAAATTCTAATAGTAATCGTCGTAGATATTGTTGCTATTTTATGATACGGTTGATTTAACCACCAGCAATATCATAAAGTTATAAAGGATCACAGGAAACATTTTCACGATATGAAGTTTCTGCTTCATATAGAACAACCTTTTACCAGTGCTCTGACTATGACGATAAGAGTCTCTCTGCGGTTCTCAGTACATAAATCTCTGAGAAAAATCCTTGTTTGAGAATGAGACAAGGAGGTCGTGCACGTTGAAAATAATCATTATGTTGAATGAAAATAAGAAGTAAAAGAACTTTAATTACGAAGGCAAAGGCCAGTTTTCCCAGCTTTAATACAGTCGCATCGGAATCTTCCGCCGTCGATGTTCTGGCAAGTCATGACTATTGAGCACCTGCTGCTCGTGCATGTTTCTGAAATTATGAATAGATTAATACAAGGCTCTGCTGCTGCAAAACTGTCTGAGCTTTTAAACTGCACTCACGAACAAATTAAAAATAATATTGCTCTTCACTGGCTCTGCCCTTACCTGCTTAACATGAAAATTATTGGGAATCTTCTCATTCTTATCTCTACATAAAGGTAAATTTTCAAAGATCACGAAATACATTGAGTAGGTTCGTGAATTTTGAAGCTTTCAATCTAAGTTAATTGTTTTATGCACAACAAATGCATGACTACGGAGCCTGGTACAAGTATTTGTGATAGTGACAACAAAAACTGATATATTAGTAATAAAAACAGCATATGCATATATATATATATATATATATATATATATATATATATATATATATATATATATATATATATATATATATATATATATGCATATATATACACACACATATATATATATATATGTGTATATATATATATATGTATATATATGTATTTATAGATGTATATATATTTATGTATGTATGTATGTATTTATATATATATATATATATATATATATATATATATATATACATACATACATACATACATACATACATACATACATACATACATACATACATAAATGATGTTTTCAAAAACGTTTCACGTTCTGATATGTTCATAAGAAAAGCAATTAATTATTTTAAATATTTATGGTGTCCTTATGTTGAATAGATATCTCTAAAACACACAAAATGAACTTTGATAAATAAATCAATAAAAAAATACATTGTTCTATCAAATCTGCTTACTGGATGCATTTAATATCAGCATCATATTAAATTCAATATACTTTTATCTGCTTCATCCTTTTTTATTCATTATTTCCTTTGTGATAATAATTATACAGACTTACTGAAACACTTCTCAATGTTATGACTGACCTAAACATTATACACTAAAGAAGCAATACAATAAATAGTCAAGTATGACGCAGTACGATGGTTTTGGCAATATTTTTTTAGTTTTGTTTACATTTTAGAAAAGGCGTGTGAGCGTGTGTGTGATTTATATTTTTAACGTACCATTAACAATTGTTCAGTCAAATCGGTACGATTTCTGCAGTGTGACAGTTTATAGCATTGTCCAAAATTGGGGCATCATGCCGCAGATATTTAGCATGATGTCCCACCCGATACATATTATCTCACCAGGCTGACCAGTCCTAATACTAACCTCTTAATGCTAGACGTATTTGCAGATATAATATTCCATCATTTGTTTGTTTTTTTTTTAATTCAAAAGCAGCTCTTCATGGTCATTCGAATTGTATTTTCTAACGAGTGATCGCGTCTGAAAATTAAGGACTGGTCACTAAAATGGGAATAAATCGGAAGAAGTCTAAATCAGCATTGCCCCGGAATTATATTTTATTAACTTTCTGACCATGCTAATTATTTGTATTTTGGAATTATTATATCTTTTTAACTGTAAAACATCATTTCTCTACTCACATAAATTTGCTGTTCACGTGACTGATATTCAGTATCATCACGTATGATAATCATCGTATCTCACATTACCCCAGAGATCAATCAGTACCTTAATGGTGGACGGTCAAGTGATACAAATATGGCCTCCCCCATGAAAACAAAATAGAAAGGGCTATATTCCTCAAAATACTTTGCTGTAGACGGAATAAAGATAATATTCACTACAACGGTTTGGTGATTATTACAACAGACCCTGGTAAACTTGAGAAATTATTTACTGATATAATAGCATGACTACAGAGCCAGAACAACAGAGACAATATTTACCAAAACTGTGTTTCTGGAGAGCCTACTACAGCTGAAATACTATTCCCTAATACAGATGCATAACTACGGAGTTCTGTACAATAGTATACAACATTCACCACAATAGTTTCCTGACAATAGAATCTGGTGGGGATAATATAGACCAAAACACAGTAATGACTATGGAGCCTGGTGGAGATATATACACCAAAACACAGTAATGACTATAGAGCCTGGTGGAAAAAATATACACCAAAACACAGTAATGGCTATGGAGCCTGGTGGAAATAATATACACCAAAATACAGTAATGACTATGGAGCCTGGTGGAAATAATATACACCAAAACACAGTAATGACTATGGAGCCTGGTGGAGATAATATACACCAAACAACGGTAATGACTATGGAGCCTGGTGGAGATAATATACACCAAAACACAGTAATGTCTTTGCAGCCTGGTGGAGATAATATACACCAAAACACAGTAATGACTATGGAGCCTGGTGGAGATAATATACACCAAAACACAGTAATGACTATGGAGCCTGCTGGAGATAATATACACCATACAACGGTAATGACTATGGAACCTGGTACAACAGATACAACATGCAGCTGACTGACTTTCAAAAGAAATTAAGTTTAAAAACAAAATACTTATCAGCAAAACTGAAAGTGTACTTGAGGTCTTCGATGGAGGAAATTTAACCCAATAGCTAAGCGCCACTGCTCTATCAATTCGACTTCTACATAATCATCCTCAAAGATAGCAGATCGCACGCATATTGTTAATGATATCAGCTCTACCGTTTTGTCTCAGTGCCAGTTCACTGCCTTTCTACCTATCCAGCTACGTACCTACCTGCCTACGTACGTACGTACGTACCTACCTACCTACACACATACACACTCACACATACATACATACATATATACATACATACATACATACATACATACATACATACATACATACATACATACATACATACATACATACATACATACATACATACATACATACATGCATGCATGCATGCATGCATGCATGCATACATACATACATATATAAATACATATATACATACACAGGAACCGCCTTAGCAAACGGGCTTTCCAATGGGTATTATTTTGGCGGGGCTACTGGATTAACCCACGAGAACCCCTGTGAGCAAGGCATTTGGAAATAAACATCTAAACATGTTTTGTATGATATTGAACTTCAAAATTTCTTCTAGCGCATTAAATTTACTCTTTCTTTATAGATATATTTTTAAAAATTACTTGCAACCGAGAAATCTATGACCTACCTACCTACCTACCTACCTAACTACCATCCTACCTACCTACATACCTACCTACCTACCTACCTACCTACCTACCTACCTACCTACCTACATACGTACGTACGTACGTACGTACGTACCTACGTACATACATACATACATACATACATACATACATACATACATACATACATACATACATACATACATACATACATACATACATAACTTGACTCACGAAATTAAGGATGAG